AGGGAGAGCGGCAAAGTTGATACATGTTAAAGAACATTAGTTAAAAACCGAGCAGTTAGGCTCATCAAAAAGTTTAGCAATTCTCAAGTATGTTCCTTCTTAGACTGGAAGACATCGAGATCGCTTTAAATCTTTACTGGCTTTCTTTACCCTTGGTTTCCTATTTGTAGTACTTCATTCAAAAATATTGTCAACTGTTCAGATTGCATTGAAAATCAAAACGAATATTCGAAACTTGGCTATTCGTAATTTTGTTCCCTAAATACTTTAAACACGTTACTTTTGTGCCGTTGGTGTCGGTGTAATTCTTGTTAACTTCACTTTGCACAAGAGATTCATTCCGGTACTCGATAAACGAAACATTCTAAAAAGCTTTTATTACTTTATGCTGTCTACAGCCTTTAAGATGAACGGTGACGGCATTTGTAAAGTATACTCGACCTGCGCACGAAATCAGCCTTAAAATTAATCTTATCTTGTTTTTTAAATTAGAGCTACTATGTATCGATTGAGAAGAACTGTAGCAGACAGGTTGGACACACAAACAAATACGATATTTTTGAAGGTGTAATAAACAGTTACAACAAATGATTTTTGACAAGTTTTTTTGGTGACTATATGTGAAGTTTTGGAATTGAAGAGATAGCTAGAATTAGAAAATATAGTTTTGATTTCTGGCCAGAATATTCTAGACAGCAAAAAATTTGCAGTGCTGAGAAATAGCTTGGACTTTTCTTTTGTAGCAACCTAGCCTGCGGAGTCAAGTGTCAAAAATGACAAGAAGAACCTACTGCTTCGAGAGCTTCCTGAAACGCTTCTGTTGTCACGTCAACTGCAGGATCAAAAATGAGGATAACCTTTATGTTTTTATTATGGAGTTCTTCAGCGTAATTACCAAAACCTTTCCATTTCTGAAGTGAGAAGAACTGCTCAGCAAAACCGTCAACACTGTATTGATATCAGGAGCCAGTCTTGTATTGCTATGACACTGTCATATTTAAAAAATGTCTCTGGAGAAATATTGGTCAGAACAATAATAAAACCTGGAAGTTTTATGAAATTCTAATAAAATTTTTACATCGCCTAGTGTAAAGTCGGCGTATCTTTCCATATAATCGACGTCTGCATAGACGACTTCAAGAGGAATTTTTTTATCTAAGTTTCGCTGAACTACCGTTTTGACCTCGTCAAGACCTGTATAACCATATCTTGATAACTGAAATTAAGCGATACTGAACATCTTTCACCTATTCTTTAAAATTTCTTTATTTTTCCGACAAGCATGTTGTAACGGTTGTGCAAAATCAGTTCTTACTTGAAAACCAAGTGACCAATATGCGGGCATGAATGGTTTTCCAATAAGAG